ATATATATATATATATCCCCTTTTTTGGATTTCCTTCCCATTTAGGTCACCACACAGCACTGAGTAGAGTTCCCTGTGCTATACAGTCGGTTCTCATTAGCTATCTATTTTAAACATAGTAGCATATACATGTCAATCCTAATCTTCAAAAGAAGCTGTTTTTAATCCAAGATATTTCATCAGAATTCTCCCATTTTTGGTTAATTGTGCATTCATTATATTCTACACTCTTGGGGATAAAAAAAAATGTTACCTTACTTTTTTTCAAAATATAAATTATATCAAATTCCCCATTCATTTTAGTCATTATTCCATTTCTAGAAATTCTGAGGTTTGTTTACTTGCTCTATTCAATCTCAGGTGATGCAAAGATCCTGGGCATTTTACAGAGAGCACAAATTCAGGCAAAGCTTTTGTACTTCAGTCAGCAAGTAGTCACCAAAAGAGTACACTGAGCCAGACAGCTTTGCTCTTGTCAGACCAGCGAGGGAATCCAATTCCAGCCTGACTACCCTTGTCCTGAAAGTCCAAATTCCCAGTGTGCACCAGGAAGCCATTCCCTCTGAGGTCCAGCTTACAAGGGGGCTTTCAGTGATGGAACAGGTTGAGTCACCGCTACTTCTAGGAACAAAATCACAGCCCCTCTTCCCACTCTTAGGGAATCTACCTCTTTCCAGTATTATTCAGCTTCCAACTCACTCAGGTAGGTTCTTCCTGTATTGCAACTTAGAAAATTTCGTTCAGTACGTTTTACTGTGGTACGGCTAGAGAGGTGGAACAAAGTCCAGAATGTCAGAAGCCTTTTAGGTGTATTTGAAATCAACCAAATGAGCAGGAAACTTCTGAGACCAAGGAGTAGAAGGCTTTCGGAACTCTTTTGAAATAAAATAGAAAATAGCCACAAAAACAATGTTAATAGCTCAAAAAATGTACAGTCCATCTGCCATTTGTTAGGATTCCACACCTGTGGATTCAATCATGATTTGAAACTGTGAAATCTGAATGGAAACTATTCAGAAAAAAACCCAGGAAATTTCAAAAAGTAAAACTTGAAAATGCCACACACCAGGCAACTAATTACATAGCTTTTAATTTATATTATGATAGGTGTTAGAAGTAGTCTAGAGATGATTTAAAGGACGCTAGAAAATGTTTGTAAGTTATTTGTACACACTATGTCATTTTGTATAAGGGACTGTACATCCTCAGATTTAGGTATGGGGGAGGGCCTAGAACCAAATCCTCATGGTACTAAGGGATGACTGTACATTCACTTCATCAAAAAGACAGAAACATTCTCAGAAATCAGAAATCTTTAGTGTAAACTCACCTTTCCAATACACTGCCCAAGTCCTGCAAGGGAAAAAGAAAAGATGATGTTAATCATCAGAGTTCTGGCCTTTTGCATCTTCTTTAGTATTCTTGTTTGTTCCTTTCCTTAAGGTATTTATTCTCTGATTCTTCTCTAAGGAACAATTAGAGGTTATCTTAACAGCAGAACCTAAACTAAAACATGATGGACTTAGTCAGGGTGCATTATGGAAGGATGAAGGCCAGGAAGAGTCTGTGTAATGACGCAACAACATCTAGGTCTCCAGTGTCACTCAGTGCCCCGTCCTATTCCCAAGGAGAGATCTCATCATTTATGATAACAATTAAAGCAAAACAGGGGACCATACAAAATGAATTATAGAATACATTGAAATTGACTACCAGTTCTAAATTTTTCTAGACAACGAGCAAAACCTCAATGTCTTCAGTAAGTATGGGATAACAGAGTGACAAGGGATTAGGGGAACATATATTGAAAATTATTCCAACAAAGTTAACTTTTCCTGGCTATAGAATTTTGCTAGCTTTGGATAATCAGTGTGGAGAGTTCCCCTGATCACACTGAAATAATTTTGTCCTATGTTAGCTAATAAAAGGATTAAAAAAAAAAACTCCCAAAGATTACCAGGCTATGAGAAATAAGGGATTGGACAAGATAATGGAAGTTAAGGAGCATCATCCCTTAGCTGAGATAAGAGTATATGCAGGTAACATTTCAATGTCATGGCAACGGTGCCCAGAATAGTACTTCCGTCTCTGAGGATGGAACCTCCCTTCTCACCTGGAGCAGCTCCACGTCAGGCCTGTGGCACATCTCAGTCAGCTCTCTGTACATTTCTTTCAGACTTTCTTTCTGTTGAGTCGTTCTGAATTCACTCTCCCTGAGTTGCTGGAGAGTCTCCTTCGCTTCTTCCTCCAGCGCCTCCAGATGGAGCTGCTCCTGCTCCCGGAGAAACAGGTGGATCCTCTGATACTGAACTTTGATCATCACCTTCCTTTTGGCCGCATAGTTCTGCGGAGGTAGTGGATTCAAAGAATCACTCATCCTCATTCTCAACCGAAAACGTCAAATATTATTTCCTGTCTTTGGGAAAGCTCTTGACAAACTTTCTACCTCACACCTCAAAGGGTCCTTCCTGTCCATCCTTTCTCTAAGTTTCTCGCCTCTTTTCCTGTTTAAATCAAGCCATCTGAGGCGGTCCCAGTTTTTCTCCCTAGGAGGATTCTTCAGGGTTCTTACTCCATCAATTATTTCCTCTCTTACCCAAATCTTGTTTTTTCTTGTTCCTTTCCCTGATTTTTCTAAATATTCTTTTATTAGGTAAACCCCATACTGTGCAGCTTTAAAAATATGCACTAATTCTCTTCTAGGTGCTACTGTATTCCTCTCCTCACCTTCACAGACACACTTAGCACAATGTTGTCTTATAATCCATGTCTGAGAAGGTTTATTCAAATCTTCAAAATGTGGCCTAGGAATACGTTTCATGCCTTGGTTTTCCCATATACTAGCACTCTTTGAACTAGTTTGTATTGGTCTGTTATAATTGTGATTACTGATAGGTCATTTAAAACCACTACTCTTAGTAGTGGTTTAGTCTTTTCCAAGGAAAAGACCATTACCCTTTACCTGGTAATTTGAATTTTGCTAAAAGTCTAAGCCAGGATTATATCTGTCTCCATGCAAACAAATAGAATATTTTAATTCTTTCCTCTAACAACTGAGTTTTGTTAGCTTCTTGATTCAGACTGTTTTGCATTTCTTGTGTCATTTTCCTTAAAGAGCCCATTCTCTTCAGAAGTTTCTCCTGCAAAATAACCATGAGCTTTAGTCACACAGATGATGATACCATAAATTCCATCCCCTTATGTATGAGCAAAGGCAGTCATTTAGAGCAGGGGTCCCCAACCCACTGGGCCAAAGACCGCTACCAGTCCACAGCCTGTTAGGAATGGGGCTGCACAGCAGGAAGTGAAAGGGGGGCAAACAAGTGAAGCTTCATCTGCCACTCCCCATGGCTCACATTACCACCGGAACCATACCCCCAACCTCTCCCTGTCCCCATCCATGGAAAAATTGTCTTCCACAAAACTGGTTGCCGGTGCCAAAAAGGATGGGGACCGCTGGTTTAGAAAATAGAAATCTTGAGTTTGAATGGTGTGGTCAGATTTTTCCACATTAATCTAATTTGATTCTAATATGTTGAATATCAAAGTGACAGAAACATATAATGAAGAATTGTGGGGGGGGGACTTCCCTTGTGGAGCAGTGGTTAAGAATCTGCCTGCCAATGCAGGGGACACAGGTTTGATCTCTGGTCCTGGAAGATCCCAAATGCTGCAGAGCAACTAAGCCTGTGTGCCCTAGTGAGCCTGTGCTCTAGACCCCATGAGCCACAACTACTGAGCTCGCGTGCCACAAGTACTGAAGCCTGAGTGCCTAGAGCCCATGCTCCGCAACAAGAAAAGCTACTGCAATGAGAAGCCTGCACACCACAGCGAAGAGTAGCCCCCACTCACTGCAACTAGAGAAAAGCCCACACGCAGCAACAAAGACCCAATGCAGCCAAAAATAAATAAATTAATTAAAAATTTTAAAAAAAGAAAGAAAGAATTGGGGAAACTTTATAGATAATGGAATCTCTCATTTCCATAAGAGAAATGAAATTTCTCATTTCCTAAGAAATTGAGACTCAGATTTTTATATAACTTGACTAAGAATGCGTCAAGCTCACGTCAGAAGCCGGTGTGCCTGGTGCTACCACATGCCCCAGGATACAGCAGTTCCACATGTTTGGACAATTGGGCAACAGCATTAAAATGATACACTTACATGACCAACACTGAAAAATCTCCACCTCGACCATCTCCATCCCCATCAACTTCATTATTATCCTCATCTTTCTCTCTGATTTAGGAGCCTGTAGGTTCCTAACTGCTTTAGAAGCATCACTTACCCGGTATTCCTCAGCAGCCCACTGTATTGGACTGTGGCTGTGAGCTGCATGCTCTGGGGACTCAGAGCAGGGTCTTGTCAACCTCACAGAAGAGTCCTTTGGCTTCTTTGTGTGTCAAGCAGATCTGCGCCTCCAAGCTGTTGGTTTGTTTAGCTGCGTCCTGTCTGGCGAGGGAAGCCAGCCTATTGAGTACAATATTGGTTTTGAAACCTGGCTTCTCTGATAGTCCCCTGCACTCAGGGCAGCTCTTTGGAGTCTGGTCTTCCTCCCAGCAGAGGTACAGGCAGGGACGGCAAAAACTGTGCCCACAGTCTATGGTGACGGGGTCTACGATGTAGTTCATACAGATGGAGCAGGTTAGTTCATTCTGGAAGGCTTGCAATGTGTCTGAATCCATGTTTCTGAAAATTCAAGACAGAAATAGGGAGGGTAAGAGAGAAAGTCTTTCTTCTGCCCTGATATGGGAAAGTAAAGCCTTTGGACAAAGTCCTGTCTGTGTGAACTCTATCTAATTTAACTATATGCTTACCTTCAGTACAAACCTAGAAATGGTGAATACAGACAGGTTCATGCTGATACAAATGATAAAATTAGATAAGAGAGTCCCTAGCAATTTTTTTGTTTAAAATAAACCGTGTTCTCAGTCATACCTAAATTACATGGATGTGCTTAAAGCTTAGACCAGAGGGTAAATGGTGACTCCAGAGTTACTTTTATTAGCTGACTGGTACGGAAGCACATATATAATCTCAATCTGTCTGTCTCTCTCTCTCCATGACTCCATGACTGGAACCCATACTTGCACACACTTTGTCTCTATGCTAACGTTCTCTATGTCTCCTGCCTCTGAACTGACAGATGTGCTTTTCTAAAGACAAATAAAATTGTTTAGAATAATTTAAACTTAATATAATCAATGTTGGCTTTACCTTTGACATCTTAAAACTATAAACATTTCAGTGTTTGCTTCCAACTTAAATAGCAAAACTCCTCCTTTCAAGACAAAAAAGGAAAAACGTATGTTATTTCTAGTTCAGGAAAACAATTTTTCCTGGAGTCAGTTCAGATCATCAGAGCACTTCACATTTTGAACTAGTGAATGTTCAAGCTACAACAGTAATTAGTAAAAATTAATCAGTTGTTTCATAAAGCCAAAGAAAAAATTTGAATATACATGAGGATTTTCTCTCTACACTAGAAATTCCAAAGATGTAGTTAATGGAAGCAACATCATATTCTCTTTTTTTCTGATATTTCCCTATTTGACCAATGCCACTTCTTGGGAGTCCCTATCAGTTCATTGGGTCTATCCCGAACACTTTTCAAATCTATACTGCAAACTGAAGGCTTTAAAAATACAGCGCCTTTATTCTGGCATGGACATATATACACTATCAAAGGTAAAACTGATAGCTAGTGGGAAGCAGCCGCATGGCACAGGTTGATCAGCTCGGTGCTTTGTGACCACCTAGAGGGGTGGGACAGAAAGGGGTGGGACAGGGAGGGTGGGAGGGAGACGCAAGAGGTAGGAGATATGGGTATATATGTATGTATAGAGCTGACTCACTTTGTTATACAGCAGAAACTAACACACCATTGTAAAGCAATTATACTCCAATAAAGATGTTTAAATATATATATATAGCACATATGAACTTCACAAGAAGATATTCTAATTCATTCAACACATTTAACTCTTATGTTCATCTGTATAAAGGCTATGAAATATATACATTATGTTGAACATTTTAGGTGTTCTATGTGTTTCATAAATACATATGTCTGTAGTAATCTCATTTAAGACCGGAAAACATCTAATAACATGTAAGGTAATGGAATAAAAATGATTACATGTTAATATTACAAATATCAATATATTACAATTGCTCTAGTTACAGATATTTTAAATATTGAGGTCATTTACAAAAAACTAAGACAACTACTTGTTTGCTTGGACAAAACCCAAGCAGGCTAATAGGTAAATGGAAAGGATTTGGATGAGAGAAAATAGGCATGAAGATATTCACAATCAATTCCTTACTTACCAGAGTCCACTCCCAGATATTTACAATCAATTCCTTACATACCAGAGTCCACTGTGAGTGGTCTTACTTCTGGAAGGCTGCACGTCCTGGAAATCTGTGGATATCAGGGTCAACAAGAACTGTCCAACACCTGGTAGCTGCACTTTCCCTCAGTCCCCCTGAGAGAAGCAGTCACCCCTGGACAAAGTTGCCTTTTAAAGGATTAGACTCTCCTGAGGTCACACCTACTTCTTGAGATTGGATAATACCTTCAAAGGGAAGTGGAAAATACTGGTAAGTTTACTCAGAAAGGTGTGAAAATGGTTGATTGGGTTTTGGGTATATAGAAAACCCAATCTTAGGGGGTTGAGAGCCTAAAAGCATATAGACTTCTTTTAGGGTAAATGCAAAAAAAAAAAATTGGTGAAAACTTTTAAACAAAATACTTTATATATGTTATATATACACACATAATATATACATCAAGGTATATGTTTGTATTAATATGAATATAATATAGTAATTTTTATACCATAATTATGTAATTATATTTAATACAATGCATAAAGATGACTTTTTTATTGAGGTATAATTGACCTAACCTCATATAACTTTCAGGTATATAACGTAATGATTTGCAATTTGCATATATTGTGAAATGATCACCATATTAGTTAACATTCATCACAACACGTAGTTAAAAATTATTTTTTTTGTTATGAGAACTTTTAAGATCTACTCTCCTAACAACTTTTAAATATGCATTACAGTATTATTATCTGTAGTTACTATGTTGTACATACTGTAGAATATTATTTTTAACAGAAATGCCATACTACCTGTATTTTGCTGACACCTATCACAGTTTATCAAATTACCAATGCTTACATACATGTTATTTCACTAAATTATCTATTGTTTGTTAATTGAAGCACTACTTATAAAAAATATATGGGAGCTTCCCTGGTGGCGCAGTGGTTGAGATTCCGCCTGCCGATGCAGAGGACACGGGTTTGTGCCCCGGTCCAGGAAGATCCCACGTGCCGCGGAGCGGCCAGGCCTGTGAGCCATGGCCGCTGAGCCTGTGCGTCCAGAGTCTGTGCTCCGCAATGGGAGAGGCCACAACAGTGAGAGGCCTGCATACTGCAAAAAAAAATAATTATATTAAAATAAATAACAAAACAAAACAAAACAAAACAAGATGGCTCAATTTGAGGCTTTAATTCATTTGGATTTTGATGTCTTGAATTTAATTTTTTGTCTCTTAATTTCTTCCTTGGAATATAAAATTGAGAGAAAATTTATTTCACCACCACCACCCACACCCCCAGCCGCTTTCCTCCCTTGGTGTGCATATGTTTGTTCTCTACATCTGTGTCTCAATTTCTGCTCTGCAAACTGGTTCATTTTTCTAGGTTCCACATATATGCATTAATATACGATATTTATTTTTTACTTTCTGACTTCACTCTGTATGACAGTCTCTAGATCCATCCACGTCTCTACAAATGACCCAATTTCGTTCCCTTTTATAGCTGAGTAATATTCCATTGTATATATGTACCCCATCTTCTTTATCCATTCGTCTGTCGATGGGCATTTAGGTTGCTTCCATGACCTGGCTATTGTAAATAGTGCTGCAATGAACACTGGGGTGCATGTGTCTTTTTGAATTATGGTTTTCTCTGGGTATAAGCCCCGTAGTGGGATTGATGGGTCATATGGTAATTCTATTTTTAGTTTTTTAAGGAAACTCCACACTGCTGTCCATAGTGGCTGTATCAATTTACATTCCCACCAACAGTGCAAGAGGGCTCCCTTTTCTCCACACCCTTTCCAGCATTTGTTTGTAGATTTTCTGATGATGCCTATTCTAACTGGTGTGAGGTGATACCTCATTGTAGTATTGATTTGCATTTCTCTAATAATTAGTGATGTTGAGCAGCTTTTCATTTGCTTCTTGGCCATCTGTATGTCTTCTTTGGAGAAATGTCTATTTAGGTCTTCTGCCCATTTTTGGATTGGGTTGTTTGTTTCTTTAATATTGAGCTGCATGAGCTGTTTATATATTTTGGAGATTAATCCTTTGTCCATTGATTTGTTTACAAATATTTTCTTCCATTCTGAGGGTTGTCTTTTCATCTTGTTTATAGTTTCCTTTGCTGTGCAAAAGCTTTGAAGTTTCATTAGGTCCCATTTGCTTATTTTTGTTTTTATTTCCATTACTCTAGGAGATGGATCAAAAAAGATCTTGCTGTGATTAATCTCAAAAAGTGTTCATCCTATATTTTCCTCTAAGAGCTTTAGAGTGTCCAGTCTTACATTTAGGTCTCTAATCCATTTTGAGTTTATTTTTGTGTATGGTGTTAGGAAACATTCTAATTTCATTCTCCTACATGTAGCTGTCCAGTTTTCCCAGCACCACTTATTGAAGAGGCTGTCTTTTCTCCATTGTATATCCTTCCCTCCTTTGTCATAGATGAGTTGACCATAGGTGCGTGGGTTTATCTCTGTGCTTTCTACCCTATTGTATGGATCTATATTTCTGTTTTTGTGCCAGTACCATATTGTCTTGATTACTGTAGCTGTGTAGTATAGTCTGAAGTCAGGGAGTCTGATTCCTCCAGCTCTGTTTCTTTCCCTCAAGACCGCTTTCGCTATATGGGACCTTTTGTGTCTCCATACAAATTTAAAAATTTTTTGTTCTAGTTCTGTATAAATGCCATTGGTAATTTGATAGGGATGGCATTGAATCTATAGATTGCTTTGGGTAGTACAGTCATTTTCACAATATTGATTCTTCCAATCCAAGAACATGGTATACCTCTCCATCTGTTTGTATCATCTTTGATTTCTTTCATCAGTGTCTTATAGTTTTCTGCATACAGGTCTTTTTTCTCTCTAGGTAGGTTGATTCCTAGGTATTTAATTTTTTTGTTGCAATGGTAAATGGGAGTGTTTCCTTAATTTCTCTTTCAGATTTCTCATAATTAGTGTATAGGAATGCAAGAGATTTCTGTGCATTAATTTTGTTTCCTGTTACTTTACCAAATTCATTGATTAGATCTAGTAGTTTCCTCGTGGCGTCTTTAGGATTCTCTACATATAGTATCATATCATCTGCAAACAGTGAAAGTTTTACTTCTTTTCCAAGTTGTATCCTTTTATTTCTTTTTCTTCTCTGATTGCTGTGGCTAAAACTTCCAAAACTATGTCGAATAATAGTGGCAAGAGTGGACATCCTTGTCTTGCTCCTATCTTAGAGGAAATGCTTTCAATTTTTCACAATTGAGAATGATGTTTGCTGTGGGTTTTCCATATATGGTCTTTATTATGTTGAGGTAGGTTCCCTTTATACCCACTTTCTGGAGAA